CACAATCATTGCCATATTTAGAAATTTATAATTTGAGGGGGTGTGAAGGCATGGAGCTGATATCAATTGATACTGCTAGTTCATACAAAATATCAAGAAGGCTGACTTTCTTTCCTTTTCTCTTCATCCCATGCAGAATTAAATCAAATGAAGAAGCCAATATTACTGATTTAGCAAGTTATACAGCCAGGTTATCTTTTTTTTCCATTTCAAAAGTACTTCAATGACTCCCAAAATAAAATTTTGCTAAAACTTTTTTTGTTAAGAAATTTGAACTTTAGAAATGTTAATATCACTAAAACGCTTCCCAAAAGTTAGCTGTTAGTTTACTTCTATGTTTAAGAGGAATTTTAGTTCAAAAGGGAGAGTTATCAAAGAATTACAAAGTTCTATACAAAGACAATATTACTTTAAACTATATTGGAATTATATTAGAGTATATTGAAAGGAAAACTAAAGGAATAATAGCATCTAGTCGGGATGTATTAACAAGTGGTTTTTGCTCATGTGAATTGGATCCTGTCTCTTTCAACTACAGAAGAGAGAAGATCCAATTAATTATACTAATAAAATTAGGTGGTTCCTGTCTTATTTACGGTTACCTTATTAACCCACAAAATTAATCACGTGCGTAGAGTCCTATATTAAATTATTTGTGTTATGTATTATTTTATCAATATTAATATAATTACAATTCAAACAGCATTGCTATTGAACAAACATTTATCAAGTATACAAATATCTACAATGGCATCATTAATAACAATTTATTATTATCTAATATTAATTTGTTTCTTTTTATTCCTTTTAACAATCCAATACACTTCAAGAAGCCTCAAAATATTGACACTAAAGAAGAAAATGCCTCCAATTTGCTAGAGCAGAGGTGGCGAACCTATTACATGCGTGCCTGAAGTGACACGTCAAAGAAATCATCTGGCACATAATGTATTATACGATATCGGTTTATCATCTTTTTCAATCAGGTTCTTTACATTTACTCTAATTAGAGCATATTATTTTATTTATTTAAATATAGTTTTTAAAACTCTTTTTGCCCCGTGGGCACTAAGAGGGTTTTTTTTATTTATCAAACTCCAAATGGAACAGTCGGATGGTGAAGTATGGATCACCACCTGAAAATTTTCTGGGGTTTTGATCTCGGGTCCACGAGCGATAAGCTACCACTTTGACCGCTCGGCCATTCTGCCAAATTTAAATATAGTTACTACAAGTCTAAAACTTTTGCACACATAGTCATTTTTAAAGAAAAATATGCTTAATATGCTTACTATGTGGCATACAGACTCAAAAAGGTTCACCATCCCTGTACTAGAGTATATTGTTTCAGCAAGTACACTTCAGCATAGTGTACTTGCTGAAACCTTTGTGGAAATCCTGTTATTTATGGAACTTTTTCTTATTTATGAAAATTGTTTTGTGATTTTATAAGATGTAATAATTTGACATAGATATAATCAGTTTATTTAGCAAAATAATATTTTGATGTATAACTACTTACTCATTATTAATTTTATTATTATAAAACAAAATATTTTGTGATCAAGATTACTTGATCTTTTATTTAAGACCTTAGTATAAAAGGAAATAGCAAGTTTTATAGTTCAGTAAAACAAAAGCGTGACGTCTCTCCCGTGACATCATGTAACAGCTGATCGATCTAATGCCATCTGCTGATTGTATTGTATCAATAGCATTTTGTTTTTTCCCGTTAGATAATACGCATATTTTAATTATTATATTTATTTTTAAAAACTTTTTTCAATTATTTATGTTGTTAACAGTAAATTATTTGAGACGTAAGTTTAGTACACAAATCTAAACAAAAGTATTGGGCAGATATATACAGAATGTTTATTATTGTAGGTGCAGAAATTTCAAAAAGGGAAAAAATTCGTTTTTTTTTTTTTTTTCAGTCAAAGGAACTCCAACCCATAAAAACAGGACAAATGTTATTGCATTTATATCGCATACGAAATTTCATGTATATTTTAATGAAATTCAAATAAAATTTTTTCAGATTTCTTGAAAAGTAACTATTGTGTTTGAAAAGTAAAAAAAAAATTGTTTTTAAAATATACGTGATACGTGTAATCGATGACAAAATGTAATATATATTTTACTTTAAATACAGTAGACGTTTAAAAAATTTATAATTTGTATTGGTGTGAACCTCACTTCATATTTTTGAAATGAAAATCTTAAAATGCTGTCCTTTTTTATTTGAAAATAATTTGAATGTTTGTTTCTTGTTGCGAATATTATTTCGCAGTCAGTCGGTGGAATCTGAAAATTTGTATACTGGAGTTATTTGGATCGTCATCTGTTTAATATAATCAGTTTCAGTAGAAATCATATCATGTGAGATTTTTAATGAATTACTCAAAAACGTAACGCATTAACCCTGCTAGGCATGCCGATAAGTATCATTGAGAAGTTACCTCACAGTCTGAAAAGCACGTTCACTTCATCGTTAATCGTCATTTGCATCAGATAACGTAACAGTCACATCAGTTTAGTTCATGTATAACATTATAAGTAACCATAATAAGATATTAATCATCATGCAAATTTCATTTGGCGACAAGTTATAAAGAATAAAATTTCTTAGTAACTGCTTTCATAGAATTTCAAACTACAAAATGAACATATTTGTCTGAGGCAACTTCTGTTATATATTTGATATTTTTTATATTAAATATTAAATTATCATTAGTTTAACACACTATCAAGGTTTGAATTAATGATATGAGTAGTACTTCCGTGCCGGTTTTCTCATCAAAATAGTATGTTTTCAGGATTGGGATTAACTAATGCAGTGTTAACACGGTCATATGAATTTAATACTGTAATAATAATAGTTTTATTGACTTAGCTTTCGCCTCTACGGGGGGAGAGAAACAAGATACAAAGGAATTCCATAAATTTACAAAGCAGCTTGGGTAACTTATACACGTCTTGTATATAAAACTTTACGTAGTTTCCTTAAATTTAGTAAGATAGAAGAAGAAGAATTTAAGAATGAAGGAAAAACTTATAAACATTTCATAGTATAATGAAAATTAAGTTGTTATTAAACAAATAGTGTAAACTGAAGTCCTAATAGTCTCTTTAAATATTCAAGAGATTCAAATAAAATGAATAGATAATGAAACCACAAAAAGAACATTTAGTATTTGCTATAATGTTTAGACTGTTACTATTTAGAAAGATAGTACAATTATTTAAACGAAGTTGTGTCAGTAAAGTTTTAATCTTATAAGTTAAATTTGACAATAACGCATAGTCCGTGGAGAGAAGGAAGAAATATGAAACCCAGCTAAAGTTCTATTCGATGCACATTGTCCTTTAGCCAATATTTGTCATTTAACGGTCGTAGTAACTCGGTAGAGAAGAACTTGTCAGAAAGCTGAGATTAGTACGTATCCGAAAAACCTGTCATTCAGCAATATTTTAATTGTGATAAGCCATATATCTACCGGTGTTCTCCGAATTAACATTCGTTATAGACCAGCCTCCTAAAATCAGTTTCCGATAAATCTAGAATTTGAAACCAAAAGCGAAATAAATTCTTAATAAAAATAAGCCAATAGCTAAAGGTGTCTTCAGCTTTCCTTTTTTCTGAATAAAGTGTCAATCACCAATTGTTCCTTATTTTCTAAGTAAAGTAAAATTGTTAACCGTCAACTATCAAACAGTTAAGCAGTTTGGAAATCTAAAAAGTCTTAAAACACTACGTTTTAAGATAAATTAATACGGATTAGCTTCAGTTTTGGATTACATTTTTTCCCCTCAATTTATTATTTCTTTACTCACTTTAAATTTGAGTTTATTTATATTAACCTCTGCTTAGAATGATGGCAGTTCCATTGACGGGAAGAACGAGAAAGTAGAATGCGCTAATAAAAGCAGAGAATTGTAAGAAGAGGGAGACGTGTTTGGGTTGTTTTATAAGAGTAGTAAAAATTATCATATCCTCAATTTAGAGTAAGGAGAAAGATTGTGGAAAAGATATGAAAAATCTAGGGAAAAATAGTGTCGCTGTAAAATTAAAGAAAAAAATTAGGCTCGCTGTATTAAGGAAAGAAATAATTTTAGGACATTATTTTAGTTATTAGAGGAGGACTCGCTGAATTCATTAAAAGATAACATCAATAGAAGAAAACCTCAAGAGATTTCAAAAAAGACGTTATATAAAACTTTATATTTACTATGATAAATATCAATTAGATGTATATAACAAGCACGCGCCGGATCGAATATACCACAGAGGTCCCATAAGTACCTTTTCTATCAATATGTTTAGATACATAAATACTATTATTGTGTGACATACAGCCTACACGAATAGTAGACTGTGTCATATAAGTAAAGTGCATCTGGGGCTAGAGTTCAAAATTACCCCATTGAGACCAAAGAAAAGAAGAAAAATTATTTGTTCGAACTTCAAAGCGTTGTTTTTAATTAATGATGACAAATATGGTTTAATATATTATCTAAATATTTTACATAATTAAAATACGATATAAAAAAACCTAGCCGTTGATAAGTATCTAATAATAATAATAATTAATTTTAAAAAAAAAAAGCTCATCAAAATAGTTCATATGATGTTTGTTTATAGAAAATATAGTTATGATTAGATATGAATAATATATATATAAAATAACTACAAAATCTTTTTCTACATTTTATCCTTACATTATTTTGTTATGATTGAAAGCTAATACTCATCCATATAATAGAGTTGGTCGATATTAGTATATAATCTCATCGATATTTTCATTTTACTTCATGCTTTGTACATATGTATTATGTGATTTAAAAGTAATTAAGTCATGATGGATGTAGCTATTGTATAATTCGAAAATAGTTCATGAATAATAATCTATCTTTTTTCATATTTAATGAACTTACGTTATCGTTTAGTGAACTTTTGATTTAATAAATATTCATTTAAATTAATTTTTTTTTTTCAGAGTATAGCAAGTTATTTAGGTGAAGAGAAGGTACAAAAGTTAATTAACTTTTGTTTAGGATACATGTCAAAACTCATTCTTCCAGTTAAAAGGTATTTAAAACTATATGTAAAAGATGTTTCTTATTTTACTTGATATAAAATTGTATTATATTCGTCTCTTATTGATCTCTGTATTTTCAGAGGAAATTTTATCGAATTCCGAAATGGCTTAATTAACATTTGTCCTGTTGGAAGAAGTTGTTCTCAGTCTGAAAGAGAACAGTTTGCTGAATATGACAAAGTAAATTCATATATATTCTGAGTGTATGATTATTTATAAAATATTCAATAAGTTTTATTTGATTATCATCTTTAAAAATTTCTATTTAAAATCTCTTTTATGATGTCTTATCTGTTTTTAAAAAATAAAAATTGTTTTGGCAGAAGCATAAAGTTCGTGAAGAATTTGTTGATGCATTATATAAAGAATTTAATGGAATGGAATTAGTATTTTCTATAGGTGAGTTAATTTTATTTTTTCTGTTTATTTAAGAATTTAAAAACAATTTAGTTTTTATTCTCAAATATAGGAATATTTAAATATATATATATTTTTTGTATTTCCTATAATTAATAAGAATATATTTTCAGGAGGACAAATTAGTATTGATGCATTTCCTCGAGGTTGGGATAAAACCTATTGTCTGCGGCATCTAGCTAAGGAGAAGTACGAAGAAATTCATTTTTTCGGTGATAAAACAGATAAAGGCGGAAACGATTTTGAAATTTATAATGATTCTAGGACATACGGACACAGTGTAAAGAATCCGGACGATACTAAAGAAAAATTAAAACAGTTATTTTTCTCTTGAAGATAATTAAAAATTCTTTCTTTTTTTTTAAGGTATTTGGTATATTATAGGAATGATTGAAATTTCTAATTATTTATTACTTTATATTTCTAAATGCTGTATGTATACATTAATATAAAAATGAAGAAAAGAAAAAAAAAGCATATTTAATATATATTTTTTTATATTAAATGCTTCATTAAACAATAACGAAGCAGTTATTAACGGCTTTTATTCCAACTTTGTAAAACATAAGTTATGTAAATTAAATTGAAAAAAATTAATAATAATAATAAAAATCATTAAATTGAAATAATTAATGCATATTTTAGAAATAAAGATCGTAAACGCGCCACTATTAACGAATTACAGAACGAAAAATGGAGGGAAATCGCAGGGAAAAAAGAAAAAATTGTAAATAAAAGAAATTAGCTTAGCATCTCTCTTATTTTTGTATAAGAAAGGGGAAAAAAGGAGGGAAATTGGAGTAAGTAGGGTGGTGCGAAACCTCCAGGGAGCGACAGAGGACGGAAAGTAGATAGTGGACAATCAGACAACGGACGAAGCGCGGCGGACAAGATCAAAGGGATTGTCGGCACAACGTTAAAAGATCGACTGTCGAGGGGGGTGATGCAGCGCACGCGCTCATACAGAATATGTACGTCTCTGCCGCGCAACCTGTGATTGGATTCAGTCTCGTCTGTGCCTTTAGCCGACAGCATAATCTTACACGACTTTTCATGCTGTTCCTATCAAAGTGAATCTCTCTCTCTCTCTCTATCTCTCCGTGTCCCTTGATTAGTCTCTCCCTTTCTTCCTTTTTTAATGCAAGAATTTTATAAAGATGAAATACATTCCGTCGAAAGATGAAAAAGTTGCCGATAGATTGTACAGGGCGCGTGCTCCGCGGCATGACGTCATGAATGGGCGCGAGTTGTTACTTGAACGATGTGTGGACATTACACAGTTTAAAGTGGTGAGTATGGTAAAGAAGTTATATTCTCGAGGTGTGATCCTTTTATTTTTGTTTTTGTACTTCTGCATGGTGCCAATAAAGTGTTTTCAATGATCTGTACACCATTTTTATTTATTTATTTATTTTTTCTTTGTCTGTTGTGTCAATTAGGTTTTATTCGGTAAATCGTTGCATGGATGTTTGATGGCTCAATATTTCGTGTTAATAAATTATAATTTTATTGAAGAAATATTACAAATGTACGAAATGACCAAAAGCAAATTACTCGTAACTTCCACTGAAAATTAGTTTTGTAATCCCAATTTCTTAATCATATTACGAAAGATAAAATGTAGTTCTTGTAAAGGTTCTAAATTATCTCTTTTTTTTACATACTTTTACAAGTATTTGCAAGATTAGTTTGAAAGTTTTATCATGAAATATCCGTAATTTATGGGTATCATTTCAAATATCCGCCAGAAACTTCAAATTAATTCGAAGAATATTAAAAATCTAATGATACAAAACGCAAATTATTAAATGAATTTCGATGAATTATAATTGATTAAATTTTATAACAAGTTTTAAACAATAATAATAAAATTTTAATGTGAATATTTGATATTTACGGAAAATAATTCATAATTCTTCATTTATTTTCGTTTAATTAAAAGATAAGTAAAACTTATAGCATATGATCAAAGTCTCTGGTACGAAAGTTGTTTCAATATTTCATTGAAAAAATTTTAAGTGAAGCGAGCAGTAAACATTTTTACGTTTTAAATGCATAAAAATATGAAGGGCTACTATATAAAATTGAAGAGAAACTTTACCGCAATTCGTAAAATCCAATATCTTTAAATTGCATATCCTATGTTAAGCCCAAAGGAAAGAGCACTTTCAGAAAAGATTTTATGAAATTGGATTTTTAAAGTTTTAAAACGAGTAAGTTGGGTCAACTCTTTGTAATGATACTATCTCCGGTATTTCAATAAATAAATAGAAGACAATCGGTAAATGGTAAGTTGTTCTTCCTCTTTTTTTTATGTTCAGTTTGCAAGGTAAACAAGCCATTTTGCATTGCATAAAATATTCATTTGGATTTTTTAAAAAATTCTTCAAAATTTATTTATGTATATATATATAAATATAAAAAATTATTCACACCAAACAATTTTCCTTTCAGAATGCAAATTGAGTAACTGTTCAGATTTAATGCGAATTATTTTGGAAAAAATGATGTGGTTATGTAAGGTAAGTTTCTTACATTAAAATAAGGTTAAGAATTTATAAAGTTATCAATTCTGTTTTAGTGGCTAGGAGGAATTAAACAGAATTGATAAGAGTCGATGGCCTCTTAGTGGCGTACGTTCTCTATAGATTCTTTTTTTTTTTTTACTTAGGGCATATTAACTTTACATTGAAAAGTTTATTATTTGAAAAATTATCGTGTGAAAATTCGTTATAATCCAAACATTCCAGTAAGAGATGGTTCCTAAAGCTTATTTACATGGAAGCGGCGCTTATTGATTTCAAAACAAGAGTAGAATCAACAAGTCACCATGCCGCTAGCTCTTCGCCTTTTAAGAATACAAGAACACATCACACAGGGAATAAGTTATCGGTATCAGCTTTGTAACCCGCTACGTCGCTGTCGTCAAAGAGAAGACATCAAAGGAGCGGGAACAGAGCGTAGAAGATCCCTTTCACCAATATCTAAAACTTCCACCCTCTTTACACAGATGCCCTATAGTCTTGCCGACGTCCTGATCAGAGAAAATCCACCTTTCATATCACCCGAACTGATTGGCGAAAGGGGGGATTTCAACAAGTTCCCAGTAAGGACATTAAATTTTCTCTTTCTCTTTTGCTATTCTGTTAACCTTCCCCCTCCTCTCCCCGGTTCCGAAATTTTCGTTTTCTTCTTCCCTTTTTGATGGAAGCCCCATACACGAGAAAACGAGCATTTTGATAATATGAAATTACATCGATATTGAGACCGACCACTTGGTAAGGACGGTATCCTTTTGATGATTGTGCTACAAAGGATGCCGATGGAACGAGATGTGCAGCTTTGTACTGCACTATCGCCGTCTGTTGGGACGAATGGAAAACTCCTGTCTACTAATAGATTGGCGGTATATGACCCGTGTCAAAGGTCGTGTCAACAGCTCGCGGCTATTCCAATCATTTCTCTTTGTTGGGCCGACTTTAAACACGTATCTGGGTTCTATAACTATTAATTTTTTATTCCTTTCTCCTTCCTTCGATTATACTCTGCGTGTTATCTTCGATTTGTTCTCGCGATACTTCGCCGTTTCCACTCCTAGCGGAAAGTTTGCTGCAGCGGTATCGCGTATAAAGTGACCGAACTCTTTAATTATACGTAACATTGAAATGGATTGAACAGGAAAATTCGAGTGAAAAAAAATAGTCTCTGTTTGTTGGCCTCTCAGGTGTGGATGTCTAAGTCACATGGCGCCTTAAATGTCGTAAATTAATTCTTGTAATATATTGTATAAATTTTTCTATTATTTCCCCCCCGTAAACTGGAAAATAATCTGTAAAATCCCGTCGTAAATTAACAGTATCGTTAAGAATTTCCATATTTTGTAAACAAAGTTATTTACAGAAATGTTAATTTAATATACAGTTCTCTCGCATACAAAGTCTAATTTATTTATTTATTTATTTTTAAATCTATAATTCCATAATTTGCATGTGTAATTTTTAATATCAATATTTTTTATTCAAAATTTTTTAATAATTCAACACTTTTCAAGTACCACAATTTACCAGTATCAGACTATATTTAAGAGCAGAAATATTAATACGACATAGGACTTGTAGAAGGGCATGATTACATGCTAATTACTCGCTGATTACATGTCCAGATTATGCAACAGTTAGTTGTGTGTCGGTACTTTTGATGCAATGTAAGTCGAGTAAGTCGGTATCTTTGATCTTCTCCAGTCAATATCTTGCTTCTCCACTTGCATAAAGAGTTTTCAATTTACATACACCACATTCTTGTTAATGTACATATTGCAACTTCTTTGGCAAACCTGTTTTTAAATAGAATATATATATGTATATATAAAGCTTATACGTAATTATANTTTCCTTAATTTATTAAATTCCATAATTGCTTTAATCATATTGCAACTTCTTTGGCAAACCTGTTTTTAAATAGAATATATATATGTATATATAAAGCTTATACGTAATTATATGTATCCGAGGTTTTATCCAGTTATATATATAAATTTTATTAAGGTTTCAAATTAAAAAATTTTCAAGTAATTTACAAGTAAATTACAACACCTAATTTAGAACCGTAACTGGCAAGAGTTAGTATTTTTCATTGTCTGGGGAAGTGGCAATTATCACTAATTTAAATCTAAATATACCTTTGATGTCCCCTTCCTAATTGTCTACGGGTGCATTTTTCTCGTGAAAATGACTTTTCGTTTCCGTCGGAATAAATGAATGAAAACTTTTGTACGGTACTTCGTACAGGTAAATATACCTTAATTTGTGTGAAATGAACACTTTTAATTAAAAACAATTAATTTAATTGGAAATAAAATCGTAAAATACGTATTGTTTTTACTTTTTTTTTATGTAGATGTAGGCCAAAAGAACGCTTAAGACAATACCCAGCGTTTTCTACCAATCCACATACTTAACTGGTTTTTGAATTTGTTCCGGTTTGTCGTAAATTATCAGTTTAGTTATGATTAGTATTGTTTATTATATAGAGAACTGCAACACAACGTTAAACAATAGAAAGATTCCGTAAGATTTAAAAATAAGTTACTGTAATACTCGAATAGCATTTATAATCAACAAGTAATTACAATTCTTAAGCGTTATCATCTATTTTCATATGATATTTGGAAGAATGAATTAATATATTTAATGTAAAGAATTATAACGCGAGTACAGACACGAGAGTGTTTGGTTTGGCTTTATTCGTGGTTTGGCTCTATACAGCAACACGACACGTGGCCATTTTCCTGTCTCTTACGGGAAACTGGCCCTATTTACGTGTTACAAACGTGAAG